GAGTTTTCTTTGAGGTTCATCAGACTAACTTTGTGGATTCCAACTTGAAACTCATGGTACTCTTGACTTTCAGGCACAAGCCCCTGCTTTGGTCCTCTTGGTGTAGATCAGGATCCCTGATCTTATCTTTAACAAATACTGGCTAAGTATATACTATGTGTCATACTCCACTCCAGACACTGGACCTTCAACAATGAACCACACAAATGCCTTGCTGTCATGGAGTGGATGTGTTTGCTTCTGCCATAAGCTCTGTTCCTTCTCAGGACTGATGGCCTTCAGACTCTATAGCCCAAGAAAAAGGCCCACAATAGGGGCTTGCCAAAATTCTGCCCCTAGAGCTCTGGTAGCGTAGTGGTTATGAATTGGGCTGTGAACCACAAGGTCAGCAGTTCGAAACTACCAGCTGTTCCGCAGGAGAAAGATGAGGCGTTCTGATCCCATGAAGATTTACAGCCTCGGAAACCCTGAACAGGGTCGCTATGAGTCAGAACTGACTCCATGGCACACCACCACCACAACAGAGTACTCCTAAACAACATCTCCAATAATACCCCTTTGTTACTGCCAGGCCCTATGGGAGCTCTTTTGAAGAGACCAGAACAACCATCCCCAAGCATAGCTCTAATAGTAATAACTGCAGTAATGGCAGCTAACTCTTATGAAGGGCTTACTACATGTCAAGCAGAGAATGTGCTCCAAAGATCTATTTCACCTCAACTTCACAATTCTTGGAGGCCTTTGCTACTGTTGTCTCCATTTTCAGATGGATAAACAAAGTCTGAGATAAGACATGACCAGCCCTAAATCGCACAGTGGCACAGCAAGCATTTGAAGAGTCTGCCGAGCTTGATAGGCACTCCCAAGTCTCGGGGCTAGGAAGGCAGAGGTTTCATGTTCAGGTACAAGTTCATGAAGGCAACAACCAGAAGAGTTTCAGAGGGAGAGTCAGGCATGTGAGTAAGTTAGAAAAGCTGCTTTATAGTCTGTGTTTTAAATGACCAAATTCAGTTTGACTCAACAAGAGGAAGATGCTTATAATCTTCTATTGCATTTTCTCATCCAGAAATTCTATTCACCCTCAAATAAAGACAACATGAAACACTTGGAGATTAATCTAGAAATCCACATTCCTAAGTCTTTAGATTGGACATCAAGTAAAATTTTGACTTACTCTCATTATTTCTGTCAGAACTGTATTCCTAGATTTCCTCTCCCACAACCGCCCAGTTGTTCGGAATGTCACTTAATCCATTAAGAATTCTGCCCCGTAAGGGACCCCATCACTGACCAAGTCCAAACTTGCCCCAGCTTCTATGCAGTACTAGGTGTCAGGACCCTTAACTTAAGGCTACCAATTACCCTGCCATTTGAGGTTGTCACCTTTACAGTTAAGGGAAGTTTCCCCCCACAAAGGCCAATCTAATTATTAATAACTAGAGTCTTGTTAACACCAAATTCTATCTTCAGCCTTGTTTCTCAGGAGAGGGAGTAAGGAAACAGACCAAGGGGATGAGGCGTGGGCCCAAGTCACATATTTGGAAACACTTGTCTTGGCTCTCATAGCTTTCCCTGCCCCCTCCTTTATGAGAGGAAACACCGTTAGAACAAATTGCTTTCATTTTCACACACACATATAAGAGTTCATTAAGTTTTGTTTTGTTTTGTTTTTTAAAGGAATATCTCTGCTCTAAGGGTTTATCCTTTGCTGGAACTAAGAGGGAAGGGAGATAGGGAGAAGTCCAGAAAACAGGCTTCCTCTCTTTACGTGTGGTCATGGAGTGACAGAGTAAAGTTGTTGAGGCAAGTAAACATTGGTGATCATGTTTAAAATTGAAGATGGATGTGACTTTTCTTGCTATGGTTCAGGAGCCTTTGAGATCTAGGAACTGTTTTATAACCATAGGATTGCCACCATTAGTGAATGTCTCAGTGTTTTCATCCTCCATCCTTCATGGCTAATGGACTGAGCAAAACTTCCACACAGTGCAAAAACCAGAGCAAGAGATATAGGGTATCAAGCAAACATATTAGATAAAAAGTCCCATTCACCTTTTACCAAATGCAAAGTAATCAGTTCTCCAGAGAAGATGGGTCTCCTCCTTGTGTGGCCCTCCCTTTTATACAGGGATCTTTGGGCACAATCCAACCCATTGGCTGAGAGAGGGAAGAAGGCAGCTGCTGTAAACTGGATTTCTGAATCAGAATGCCAGAAGATTCTGACTGAGCAATAGCTATCTCCCCCAAGTTCAAGATTAGCTACAGGTAAGACACTGTACATGCTGCATTTCATGGAGACTAAATGTGTACCCTCCCTATCAAGGCAGGTACAAAGAAGTTGAGCATCTTAGAGATGGGGTAATAGAAAGATCCTAAGGTTAGAACACTTGGATCAGACTTCCAGTTCAACTACTTATTGCTTGGGTGAGCTTGAGCAGTTTTCTTTAATCTCTTTGAATCTGTTTTATCATCTATAAAATGGGGACAATTATATCCACTTCTTGTGGCTATTAGGATTCGATGTTGTTGTTGTTGTTGTTAAGTGCCATCAAGTTGGTACCAACTCATAGCGATCTTATGCACAGCAGAATGAAACACTGCTCAATCCTGGGCCAACCTCACTATTGTTGCCACACTTGAGCCCATTGATGCTGCCACTTGGCCAATCCATCTCGTTGGGGGTCTTCCTCTTTTTCTCTGACCCTCCACCCTACCAAATGTGATATCTTTCTTCAGTGACTGGTCCCTCCTGACAATATGTCTGAAGTATGAGAGACAAAGTTTGGTCATCCTGGCCTCCAAGGAGCACTCTGGCTCCACTTCTTCCAACACAGATTTGTTGGTTCTTTTGGCAGCCCATGGCACTTTCAATATTCTCCTCCAACACCATAACTCAAAAGCATAAATTCTTATACAGTCTTCCTTATTCACTGTCCAGCTTTCGAATGCATATGAGTATCATTGAAAATACCATGGCTTGGGTCAGGTGCATCTTAGTCTTCAAGCTGACATCTTTGCTCTTCAACACTTTAAAAAGGTCTTGTGCATCAGATTTTCCTAATGTAATACGTCATTTGATTTCTTGACTGCTGTTTCCATGAGTGTTGTTGATCCGAGAAGAATGAAGTCCTTGACAACTTCAATCTTTTCTCTGTTGATAAGAATGTTGTTTATTGGTCCAGTGGTGAGGATTTTTGTTTTCTTTACATTGAGATGCAATTCATACTGAAGGCTGTGCTCTTTCATCTTCATCAGTAAATATTTTAAGTCTTCTTCACTTTCAGCAAGCAAGGTTGTATCATCTGCATATCACAGGTTGTTAACAAGTCTTCCTCCAAACCTGATGCCATGTTTTTCTTCATAGAACCCAGCTTCTCGTATTATTTGCTCAGCATACAAGTTGAATAAGTAATGGGAAAGAATACAACCCTGTTGCACACCTTTCTTAAATTGAAACCATTCAGTGTTCCATTTTCTGTTGGAACAACTGCCTCTTGGTCCAGGTACAGATTCCTCATGAGCAGAATTAAGTTGTTCCAGAATACACATACTTTGCAATGTTGTCCATAGCTTGTCATGATCTACATAATCGAAAGCCTTTGCGTAGTCAATAAAGCACAGGTAAACATCATTCTGATATCCTCTGCTTTCAGCCAAGATCCATCGGACATCTGCAATGATATTCCTTGTTCCACAGCCTCTTCTGAATCCGGCTTGAACCTCTGGAAGCTGTTTCTGCATTATTTTTAGTAAAACTTTAGTTGCATGGGATATCAAAGATATTGTCCAATGATTTCCGCATTCTGTTGGGTCACCTCTTTTTGGGATGGGCACAAATACGGATCTCTTCCAATCAGTCTGCCAGATAGTTGTCTTCCAAATTTCTTGGCAGAGATGAGTGAGTGTCTCCTGTGCTGCCTCCCTTTCTTGAAAGATTTCAATTTTTATTCCATCAATTCCTGGTGCCTTGTTCTTTGCCAATTCCTTCAATGCACCTTGGACTTCTTTCTTCAGTATCACTGGCTCTTGATCATATGCTACCTCTTGAAATGGTTGAACACCAACCATTTCCTTTTGGTACAGTGACTCTGTGTATCCCCTCCATCTTCTTTTGATGCTTTATGCATCATTCAGTGAAAGGGTCTAATATGTAAAATGTCTAGCACAGTACCAGGTGCATAGTAGTTATAACCCCAGGCATATAGTAGGACAAACCCCTATAAATGTAAATTCCTTTCCTTCTTAATCTCACAATTGAGGTCTCTAAGAGCCCCTCCCCCAAGTTTTCTTCTCTGTCATTTTCATAGTTAATAGAAGTGGCAATAGTGCTTTACGTACTCAATAACATTCAATCCTCACACACAACCTGTTGGGGTAGATTTTAATGTTATATCCACTGTAGATGAGGGAAAGAAGGCTCACAGTGGTTAAACAACCAGCCCTGGGGCACACAGCCAATAAGTAGTAGAGCAAGGATTCAGGAACTGATCTGTCTGACTCAGCTGGCCATGTTCTGGACAATTCTACTCTATTACCTCAGTGATCTTGGAGCCTGCAACCCAGATTCCACTTTTGGGCACATACTGGGGCAAAGTTCCAAACATAACTTCAGGCACAGCTCCAGATACATCACTAAACTCACTTCTAAGCAGAGTTCTGGAAACACAAGCTTTCAGTAGAAGACAGAAAACAACTTGGGGGTTGGGATTTCTGCACTTTAATAGTGGAACGCAACTGCCCAAATAGTTACAGCATACTTTGGATGTGCTGAGAGAAATGTATAGTGATAATACTGGCCAACACTTATTGAGTACTCCCTGTATGCCAGGCACTAGGTAAGTAGATTGCATTCTCTCATTCAGTGCTTACAATAGCTCTGTGGGGGTAGAATCCGCTTAGAATCAGGGCCAGGTTGCTCCCTCCATCTTTTGGCAGGTAGGAAGAAGAAATGGACATGGAGTATAGCCCAATTAGGTACCGACGCTTGAGTCTGACATTACCTGCCGAGTTCTGCCTCTCTGGACATCTGGAGAGGAGCTCTTCTTACTTGCTGATCTTTCACGTTCCGGCTCCAACATGAAGATGCTTTCATGGGATAAGGCTTTGGTCCCCATGTTGCTCTTGGACCTGGACAAGAAGGAAAGATGTAAGAACAGTTCAAGGAACATAGGAACCAAAGGCACACATATATTCATATTATGGTGTTTGTGTGCACTGAGTTGGTTCCAGCTCAATAAAAGCATAAGGTTTCCAAGGCTGTAAATCTTTACAGGAGCAGAAAGTCTCATTTTTTTTCCAGTGGAGTGGCTGGCGGATTTGAACTGCTGACTTTGCATTTAGCAAACCAACACATAATCCACTACACTATATGTATGCCTCAGAAGGAGGGCAGGGATGTACATATGCCAGCACAGAAGAATGCCCATGAGATTGAAATGAGAAATAAAAAGAATAGGATGGTTTTGTTAACATATATACATATATTACATACATAAATGCTTATGTTTATATGATAAAGCCTGTAAGATTATGCACCAAATTGTTTGTGGCAGTTACCTGTGTGCAGTGACACTAAGGACAGAAAGGGAATTTTATGTACTTGTGTATAATTTTTATTATGTTTTAAACAATGAGCACATCTTTTTTTTTTTTTTTAGATAGCTTTATCAAGATAGAATTCACATACCATGCTGTTCACACATTTCAAGTATAAAATCCAATGGTGACAAACCAGGGGAATGGAAGGGAAAGTCCCATGTCTTGCAATTGTTATGGTAAGAGTCATAAAAGATCTTTCACATTCAGATTTCTCCCTGGTGTTTTTGTTTTGATTTTATTTGAAATATCAAAGATCTGCACAGATGCTATAGACGTTCATCTACAAAGTCTTTTCCTTTTTTGCAAGGAGCTCTGCGCTACGTCTGTCCTGCTTTCAAAGTTAGCCCTCCCGGCTTGTAAAATCAGTAAATACTGATTGGGAATAGAGCCAGGTTGATGACAATTATGTATTAAGACAAATCAGGGCAAAGTTAGAAATAAACGAAAGGCTATATTTGCAAAAGACTCCTTTGGATATGTGTGGATATGTTTTACTTTTCAAAAATTTTAGCCATATAAAGACATCACAAGAAGAAAAATAAACACAGATCCAAATCCCTTATCAATATAGATGGTCTTCAACAAAATACTAGTAAACAAAGCTAGTGATAAAGACTTGTACACTATAATCAAATAGGTTTAACGTACATGTGCAACATTAATTTAACATAAAAATAAATTAATATGCTATGCCTTGCCAATAGAATAAACAACAACAACAAAAATACGTGATTATTTTGATAGGTGCAGTAAAACATCTAATAAAAATCCAACACTGTTTCATGCCCAATAAACTCAACAAACTTAGACTAGAAGGGAATTTCTCAACCTAATAAAGGGCATTTATGAAAAACCCACAGCTAACAACATATTCCCACCACTTGTCTGTCAGTTTGTCGTACTGTCGTGACATGTGTGTTGCTGTGATTCTGGAAGCTATGCCATGATTAAATACCAGCAGGGTCACTCATGGTGGACAGGTTTCAATTGAGCTTCCAGATGAAGACAGACTTGGAGGAAGGAGAAGTGGGCTACTTCTGAAGGTTTAGTCACTGAAAACCTAATAAATAGCAGTATAACACTATCAGATAGCACCAGAATATTGAATACTGAAACACGATGAATAGTACCAGGAAACTGTCAGATATAGTGCCAGAAGATGAGCCCCTCAGTTTGGAAGGCACTCAAAATAAGACTGGGGAAGAGCTGCCTCCTCAAAGTAGAGCTGATCTTAATGCTGTAAAGTTTTCAGGACCTTCATTTGCTGATGGGGCACAACTCAAAATGTGGAGTAACAGTTACAAACACCCATTAATATCAAAATATGGAATGTATGCAGCATTAATCTAGGAAAACTGGAAGTTGTCAAAAATGAAATGAAACGCATAAAGGGCAATATCCTAGGCATTAATGAGCTGAAATGGACTGATACTGTCCATTTTGAATCTGTTAATTACATGGTTTACTATGCCAGGAATGACAAACTCAAGAGGAATGGCATCACATTCATCAAGAAGAACATTTCAAGATCTATCTCAAGTATAATGTGGTCTGTGATAGGATAATATCTATATGCCTACAAGGAAGACCAAGGAGCCATGGTAGCATAGTGGATTATGAGCTGGGCTGCTGACTGCAAGGTCGGCTGTTCAAATCTACCAGTCACTCCAAGGGAGAAAGATGAGGCTTTCTGCTCCTGTAAATATTTACAGCCTTAGAAATCCTATAAACAGTCATTATGAGTTGGAAATGAATCAGTGTCACACAACCACCACCACAAGGAAGACCTTTTTTAAACAACATAACACAGAAATCCAATTGACTAAGTCTGTGGGAATATATGGTGGAAAAGCTCCATATCATCAACTAAAACCAGGCCAGGGTTGACTGTGGAACAGACCATCAATTGCTCATATGCAAGTTCAGGCTGAAGCTGAAGAAAAATTTTATAAGTCCACAGGAGTCAAATATGACCTTGACCATATACCACCTGAATTTAGAGATCATCTCAAGAGCAGATTTTATGCATTAGACACTAATAACTGAAGACCCAAAGAGTTGTGGGATGACATCAAGAATATCATACAGGAAGAAAGCAAAAGGTCATTAAGAAGACAAGAAAGAAGGAGAAGACCAAAATAGATGTCAGAAAAGATTCTGAAACTTGCTCGTCAGCATAGCGATGCTAAAGTAAATGGAGAGACAGAAGCTAGTCACAAAAAAACCCCTCACATACTTATGATTTACAGCTATAAATCAATGGTCTATAATAGTATAATTTGTAGGATATGAAACAAGCCCTGCTGTCCAAAATCATCTCCCTAACATACAAGATGATCTGAAACTCCCAGCATTTGATGCACTCATTAAGGCCTTACTTAAGGCGACATATAGGATAGCTGTTAGGTCACTATCCTATAGGAAGTGAAACATATTAAGCTAATTGTCCCATTACCAACAAGCAACGTTTTCAGGGAATGGAAAACAACACAAGGGAAAGAAACACAGGTTGAGTTCTGTGGAAGTCCAGGTAAATCTGGAATTTAAGGCCAGGGGAGCAGGTCCAAGTCATCTGCAGAGGAATCCAATTGACCCAGGGACAGATGGGAGTACTAGGTGTCTAGATGAAAGGGAACAAGAAGATGTGGCAATTGGGGTGGCAGTGGTAGCCAGTCCCTGGAGAAGGACATCATGTTTGGTAAAGTGGAGTATCAGCAAAAAAGACAGAGATCCCCAATGAGGTGGATTGACACAGTGACAGCAACAATGGGCTCAAGTGTAACAATTGTGAGAATGGTGCAGGATTGGGCGGTGTTTCCTTCTGCTGTACATAGAGATGCTATGAGTCAGCACTGACTTGACGGCACCTAACAACGATAGCAAGTGGTAGCTGAAAAACGGTCTTCCCCATACTTTCCCTGACCAGTTACAGCACTCCCCCTGTCTCCTGAATTAAAAAGGGAAAGGGAATTGTGTTGTTTATTGATTTGCTTGCTTACTTGTTTATATTTATAGCAACACCATGATTTCATGCTTATGCATCAACCCAGCTAGATGGTTTCACTATCTGAAACTTTAATTACATTGTTCTGAGAAATGGCTCCCCTCACCCAGTAAATCACTGCTCTGCAGTTTAGGAGCACCTAGCAAGTAAACTAGACCAAGCCTCCTAAATGATGGAGGTCAGTCTTACTCTATGAACCAGAGGCCACCTGCTCCTTACAAGTGGTCGGCCCACATCTCAAGTTATGTTTGCTGTGATTGGGAAAGGTTTTCCTGATCTATCTGCATCCTTTCCCCACCCCCAGTGCTCCCAGAGAATGGGGTGTGCATTTGCCCTGCTCCAGTCTACTCAGCTGTGCAACCCAGACGACAAGTTTGCACATGGGCATAGAGAAAGAGCCCTTTGCGTTGCCACTCTCTGCTGACCTGGTCCCCCAGGAAGGGAGGCCAAAAGTCCCCAGAACCAAAGGCTTATCAGTGATTTAGCTGCCCAAAGGGGACCTATATCTAGCTACCTGCCCTTTGCCTTGTCCCTATCCCCTTCCACCCTACCTGACAGCTTACCTGATCTCAGGTAGTTGATCAGCTGGAATTGGCTTCAGAGAAGAGATGTCAATATTCCCACTGGACAGGCTTGGTGTTAGCCACCCCCCTCCCTGAGGGTCCTCAGGCTCCTTTCTCTTCTTTTTGCCAAAGAAGCTTTTGAAGGCTTTAAACTTGGATTTCTTCTTTCCTGGAAGTTAGAAATAGAAGTGAGGCAGTGCGTGATGGTGGAAGCCAAGAAAAGTGAGGACATAGGGTCTTCATGACAGGGACAAGGACTGTGATCCTAAGGGCTTTGCAGATCTTGTCCCCTCTCCCTGGCAACGCCGATAGCACCATTCAATTGGTTTGTCTCTCTCTTAATAGTTCAGTTATAAAACACGTGAGTCGCTGGCAAAAGCAGAAGCCCTGGCCACAGCTTGTGGTCTCTGGGCAGTCTCAATTCACCATATATTTACCTCTCACTCGCATTATTAACAGCCACCTCTTTCCTGGTCCTGGGAAATTGATTCCTATACAGCAATTATTTATACACATTTTGTAACCCCGCTAACACCATTCCAGTGGCAGGGGTCATCACAATCCAGTGGGAGAGCCAAGCTTCTTTCTACCTGTGGAAACCCTTCCAGGACCCTTGGAAATTCAAGTGAGAGTTGATACACGTTCAAAGGATGCACACCTAAAGAGTGAGTGGAATTGGCTGGTGCAAGCAGGGAAGACTTCCTTGAGACAAGAGTTCATAAGCAAGGGAGAGGGCTGGGAATTGGCAAGAAGAAGGAGCTGCCTAGGCAAAGAAGTTGCCCATGTGAAATGCATGACAAAATAAAATACTAAGTCATTTTGCAAGAGGTGTGTGTGCGCGTGTGTGTGCATGGTGTGTGGTCTCAATTATTGCCAATTGGTTTGGATTATATATAAGGCTGCTGCCCTCGTCACATGCAGATAATTGAATGTTTGCTCTGTTTGCAATAACTACCAGGGCATCAGTGGGGACTATGAAGTTTAAATGCTCTGCAGGCTGTGTCTGGGCTGCCTTTAGTTTCCTAATGAGCACATACGTCTTTAACAGTTGCTCTGGAGGAGAGGGGAGTTTGTATCTCATTCTTTTCAGGGAAGGAATTTGCTCTTATTGTTCTCATATGCAATAATTTTACCAACTTGAATGTCTCATTTCAACCCCTAACAGCCTGGATTCCAGAAAGCTTCTGGTAGGCACAGCATGCAGTACTGGCCATGAAGGGCCCAGCCCAGGGCATTGCCAATGGGGCCATCCTTCTGGAAGGCTTAGAGGTGGCCTAGAAGGCACCATCTGAGAGTCAGAAAACTCTGTAATCCTAGTGTGTTCAGAGCGCTTTTCATTAGGGTTGTTGTTGGGAAAGGGAATCTGCCATCCAGTCAATTTGGGAAATACTGGGTTAGACAAAATCCAACGGTTTGTTGTGCAATAAGACTTTGCTGAAACTTCAACAGGCTTATGTGTATGGTGACGCTCCAAGAAACTGGGCAACAATATTACCTCCCCAAAACATGTAGGCAGAATAGCTGGCAAAACACACTTGGAAAATTCTAAACTAGGCTTTCTTCTAGCTCTGAAATTCTGTGACCAATCCGTGTACTGATTAGTCCTGCACTTGGCCATTAGAAAAGTCCCTAAAGGGCAAGACTCAGCCTTCTACCACTCATCACTATTCACACGTCACTACAATTCACACTTCTCTATTTTCTCTGAACGTCTCAAACTTGACTCTTGGCACCATTAAGTGAGGCCATGGAAATGGCACAACTTCTGTATACTCTCTCCACTTAGTTGTTCATTCAGCAAGTATGTATTAAAATCAAGCGCTTATGAGAGTCTGGATATCATGGAGAAATGAGCAAGATATAGTCACAATGTCTTAGTTTCTGTCCTCTTTCAAGACTGTGGATCCTTTTTAGAAGTCCCTTTAGCACAGTAAGTCAACACAGTAAAGTGGGTCGCAAATAGCACTCCAAGAGACACCTGAGTCCACTGAGGCGTACACAATACCCAAGTAACATCACTTCCCTTGAATGGTGACCACTGGGCAAAGGCATTCTTGAGCATCTTATAATTTGAACACTGGTCCTTATAGGGGTTGATGTGAGTTGTAAAAAGCATCGATGAACAGCTTAGTAGAACATCCAGCATGTAGTTATGCTCAATAAATATGAGCTGTTAGTGCTGCTGCTGGTGGTTATGTGCCATGGAGTCGGTTCCAACTCACAGCAATCCTGTATAGGATTTCCGAGGCTGTAAATCTTTATGGGAGCAGAAAGCCTCATCTTTCTCCCACGGAGAGGCTGGTAGATTCGAACTGCTGACCTTGTGTTTAGCAGCCCAAGTATCCCACTACACTCCCAGAACTTATGAGGTATTATTAAGGAGTTGATAATGACTTATTTATTAGGGTCAGCTTCAATTCCATCTGTGTTCACTAGAAGTAGTCCAATGCCTAAACTTCATAATGAACTCTAAAATATGCAGGATAAGAAAAAGAACCCAGCATGGGGTGGGGCAACAAAAGAAATCACTTAAGTCATTTCAGTTTGGGATGACTTGGGGACTGTCTTATGTATTAGGATGTCTCTATATATTAGGAGCCCTGGTGGCACAGTGAGATAAGCACTGGGTTGCCATCCAAAAGGTTGTGGTTCAAATCCACCAGCTGCTGCAAGAGAGACCTTTGAGGCTGTCTGCTTCTGTAAAGATTTAACCTTGCAAACCTTAAGGACCAGTCCTACTCTGTACTATAGGGTCTCAATGAGTCAGAATCAAATTGATGGCAGCAAGTTTGAGTGAAGATGTGTGTATATATAGGACCACCAAAAATTCAAAGCCCATTGCCATCGAGTCAAATCTGAATCACAGGGAACCTATATAGGGTTTCCGAAACTATCTTTATGTGAGCAGACAGTCTCATCTTTCTCCCTTGGAGTAACTGGTGGGTTTGAACTGCCGATCTTGCTAACCATAACCCAATACCTAACCCACAGTGCCATCAGAGTCCTTGTAAAAGATTACAGGCATGCCAAATTTGGCAATTAAATCTAATGCTAGAAAGAACAACAACAACAACAACAAAGAAAATACCACAGGAAACATATGTTTCCCCAAGTTCTCATCTTTGATTTTTGTCTGAGAAATTAATTTAAAAATTTCATGACAATAAATTTAAACTCCATTTGTGACACAGTCTATGCATTTGTTGTTGCTGTTGAGTGCTGTCGAGTCCGCTCCTACTCATAGGGACCCTGTATAGGGTTTCCAAGGAGCAGCTGGTGAGTTTGAACTGACAACTTTTGTGGTTCAAACCGACCTTGAGGTCGAGTGCTTACTCTATGGTCCCACATCAAGACTCCAGTCTATGCATACTTCATGGTATAAAAACACTTCTAATAAACTCTCCAGGGAGCGTTGTGACCCTGTAAGATAAGCACTGGACTTCAGCAGTTCAAGTCCACCAGTCGCTCCTCAGGATAAAGATAAGACTTTCTGCTCTCACAAAGATTTATAGCCTCGGAAACCCTATGTTGTTGTTGTTATGTGCCGTCGAGTCGATTCCGACCCATAGCGACCCTGTTTAGGGTTTCCGAGGCTGTAAATCTTTACAGGAGCAGAAAGCTTCATTTTTCTCCCGTGGAACAGCTGGTAGTTTTGCACTGCTGACCTTGAGGTTTGCAGCCTGATTCATAACCACTATGAGTCAGAACCGACTCCATGGCACTTAACAACAACAATAAAGTCTCCAGGCTATAAAGCACAATTTACCAGCAACTTTATTCATTCATAGTTGCCAATGTTGTTGTTGTTGTTAAGTGCAGTTGAATCCATTCCGACTCTAGCGACCCTGTAAAGGGTTTCCAAGGAGTCGCTGGTGAGTTTGAACCGCTGACCTTACAGTTTAAACCCACCTTGCGGTCCAGTGCTTTATCCTACAGAGCTGTTGCCAATAGCTGGAAGCAATTCAGGATGTTCTTCAGTAGATAAATGAATAAACCAACTGTGGTATTCTTCAGTGGTAAAAAGGTAATGAGCTATCAAGCCATAAGAAGACAAGAAGGAACCTTAAACGCATACTGGTATGTGAAAGAACTGAAGCCCTGGTGGTGTAATTGTTAAGCGCTGGGTCAGTATTTTGAAGCCCCTAGAAAAAATGCCTGCTGATCTGCTCCCGGAAAGATTAACGCCTAGGAAACCCTATGGGGGTACTTCTACACTGCCATAGAGGGTCTTTATGAGTCAGAATCCACTTGGTAGCACACAGCAAATGAAAGCAGCCAGTCTGGAAAAGTTCCATATTATATGATTCCAACGATATGGCATTCTTGAAAAGGCAAAACTATACAGGCAATGAAAAGATCAGTGATTTCCAGGGGCTCAGGGGGAGGAGGGGCGGATGAAGAGATGGAGCACAGAGCAGTGAAAAGATTTTGCATACTCTGATAGTGGACACATGACATTCGGCATTTATTCAAACCCACAAACACAAAGAGTAAATGCTACTGCAAACTATAGAATTCAATTACTAATAATATATTACTATCGATCCATCAATTGTAATAAACTTACCACATGCAAGACGTTACTAATAGGAGAAACCGTATTATGGGAAGAGGGTCCATGGAAATTCACAGTACTTTCTGGGCAATTTTTCTGTAAAACTTAAACTTCTCTAACAAATAAAGCATATTAACCCACAGCTGTCAAGTCAATTCCAACTCATAGCGACCCAATAGAACAGAGTAGAATTACTCCTAGATTCTCTGAGGCTATAAATCTTTACAGAAGCAGATAGCCTCTTCTTCCTCCCATGGAGCAGCTAGTGGGTTTGAACTGATGAATTTTTGGATTGAGCTCCACATTTAACCCACTACACCACTTGTTGTTAGGTGCTGTTAAGGTGGTTCCAAATTCATAGCGATCCTATGTACAACAGAACGAAACACTGCCTGGTTCTGTGTCATCGTCACAGTTGCTGCTACACTTGAGCCTATCGTTGCTGCCACTGTACTAATTCACCTTGTTGTTGGTCTCTTGTTTTGCTGCTCCTCCACTTCATCAAGCATGATGTTCTTCTCCAGGGATTGGTCCCTCCTGACGATATGCCCAAAGTATGAGAGAAGAAGCTCGGCCTTCTTGTCTTCTAAGGAGCATTCTGGCTATACTTCTTTCAACACAGACTTTTTGGTTCTTCTCCAACAGCATAACCCAATGCATCAATTCTTCTATGGTCTTCTTTATTCACTGTCCAAATTTCACATGCATATGAAGATACGGAAAATACCATGGCTTGGATCAGGTGCATTTTAGTCCTCAAACTGACAACTTTGCTCTTCAGCACTTTAAAGAGGTTATATGCAGCCGATATGCCTAACGCAATGCGTCATTTGACTTCTTGACAACTGCTTCCGTGAGCATTGATGGTGGATCCAAGCAAAATGAAGTCTTTACTTCAATGTTTACTCCATTTATCATGAAATTATTTATTGATCGAATGGGGAGGATTTTAGTTTTCTTTACATTGAGGTGCAACAATGTGGTCTTTGATCTTCATCAGTAAGTGTTTTAAGTCCTCTTCACTTTCTTTACATTGAGGTGAACATATGGTCTTTGGTCTTCATCAGTACATATTTTAAGTCCTCTTCACTTTCAGCAACCAAGGCTGTATCATCTGCTTCTCCCAGATTGTTAATGAGTCTGTCCCCAATCCTGATGCCATGTTCTTCTTCATATAATCCAGTTTCTCAGATTATTTGTTCAGCACATGGATTGAATAAGAATGGTGAAAGAATACAACCCTGGCACACACCTTTCCTGATTTTAAACCATTCAGTGTCCCCTTGTTCTGTCTGAACAACTAACTGTCTCTTGGTCTATGAACAGGTTCCTCATGAGGACAATTAAGTGTTCTGGAATACTCATTCTCTGCAATGTTGTCCACAGCTTGTCGTGATCTACACAGTCTAAAGCCTTTACAGTCAATAAAGTATCTTTCCGGTATTCTTTGTTTTCAGCCAAGATCCATCTGACATCAGTGATGCTATCCCTCATTCCACGTCCTTGCCTCAGTCTGGCTTGAACCTCTGGTAGCTCCCTGTCAATGTACTCTTGCAGTGTTTTAAAACTATCTTTAGCAAAATATTACTTGCTTGTGATATTAATGATATTTTCCAATGATTTCCACTTTCTGTTGAGTCACCTCTCTTTGTAATGGGCATAAATATGGATCTCTTTCAATCAGTTGGCCAGGTAGCTGTCTTTTCTTGGCATAGATGATTGAGTGCCTCCAGTGCTGCATCAGTTTAATGAAAACTTCATTTTGTATTCCATCAATTCACAGAGCCTTGCTCTTTGCCAATGCCTTCAGTGCACATTGGACTTCATCTTTCAGTACCATTGGCTCTTCATCATATGCAACCTCTTGAAATGGTTGAACACCGACCATTTCTTTTTGGTACAGTGACTCTGTGTATTCCTTCCATCTTCTTTTGATGCTTTCTGCATCATTCAATCATTTTCCCATAGAATCCTTCAGTATTTCAAGTTGAGGCTTGAATTTTTCCCTCAGTTTTCTCAGCTTGAGAAATACTGAGCGTGTTCTTCCTTTTTGGTTTTCTAACTCCAAATCTTTACACATTTCATTATAATATTTGACTATGTCTTCTTGAGCTGACCTTTGAAAATTTCTGTTCAGCTCCTTTGCCTCCTCATTTCTTCCATTTGCTTTAGCATCTCTATGTTGTAGAGCAAGTTTCAGAGTCGCTTCTGACTTTCATTTGGGCTTCTCATTCTTCTTTGTCTTCTTAATGACCTTTGACTTTCTTCCTGTGTGACATTTTTGATGTCATTCCTCAGTTCTTCTGGTTTTTGGTCATTAGTGTCTAATGCATCAAATCTGTTCTTGAGATGATTTCAAAATTCCGGTGGGATATGGTCAATGTCATATCAATCAATTTTCTTCAGCTTCAGGGTGAACTTGCCCATGAGCCACAGTCTGCCCCTGCCCTTATTTTGGCTGAATAGTCCATTTGATTTCTGTGTATTCCATCTGGTGAAGTCCATGTGTCTTCTATGTTGGTTAAAAAAGATATTTGCAATGAAAAAGTCATTGGTCTTACAAAATTCTATCAGGTGGTCTCCAGCATCATTTCTATTACCAAGACCATATTTTCTATCTACTGATCCATCCTCTTTGTTTCCAACCTTTGCATTACAATCACCAGTAACAATCAATACATCTTGATCACATGTTTGATCAATTTCAGACTGAAGGTAGTAGAATTTTCCATCTCCATCATCACTGGCTTTAGTGGTCAGTACATAAATTTGAAAAATAGTGCTATTAACTGGTCTTCCTTGTAGGCATATGGACACAATGCCTTTAAATGTTTTAAATAAAGTAGAAAACTTAATTTTCCAGAGCCATTGTATGAACATACAACATTATGCATTAACATATTTTTTTTTAGGTTCTTAAATGAACAAACAGTCCTGATGTTGCAATGTAGAATAAGTACTGGACTTGTTGTTGTTGTTAAGTGCCATCGAGTCAGTTCCAACCCATAGCAACCCCTACATAGGGTTTCCGAGGAGCAGCTGGTGAACTTGAAATGCCTACCTTGCAGTTCAAACAGCTTTGCAGTCTGGCGCATTAACCCACAGCGCCACACCAGAACTCTGCTAACCACAAATCTGGCAGTTCAAACTCAGCAACCGCTCTTCGGAAACCCTATATAAGGTTGCTATGAGTCAGAACCAACTCCAGGACACTTAACAACAACAAATGAGCAAAATGACTAGTGTTTATAGAAACCCTGGTAGCTGGGCTGCAAACTGCAAGGTCAGTAATTCAAATCTACCTGCTGCTCCCACAAAATTTACAGCCTCAGAAACCCTATACATGGTCTTTATGAGTTAGAACCGAATTGTTGTTGTTGTTGTTGTTAAGTGCCGTCGAGTCGGTTCCGACCCATAGCGACCCTGTACAGGGTTTCCGAGGGTGTAAATCTTTACGGGAGTAGAAAGCCTCATCTTTCTCCCGCGGAGCGGCTGGTAGTTTCGAACCGCTGACCTTAAGGTTCGCAGCCCGATTCGTAACCACTACGCTACCAGAGCTCCTTTAGAACCGAATTAGCGGCATACAACTGCCACCACCACAGAACCGTAACAGAGGCCAGAAATGAAGTATTTCTATATTTGCATTTCCACCAATATACCCATTCTTTGCTGAATGGAAACTATTTGCCCAGGAAGATTCAAAATGCCTATGCAATATACATCTTCTTTCTACCATGGGCAGCAGGAGGAAAAGACTGTTTCGTTCTTCCCTGTGGTGGTACTGCGGCTTTGCTGATTAGTTGGGGGAGGGGGGGTACCAAGAAATGGTAACTCCCCAAACATGGTGGTTGGTGACTCATTAGTTTAGGGCAGTTACACGAATGCTGGAAATAGTCTTGGTGAGCAATTTGTTGCCACATGTACAATGTGAGCTGCAAGAGTGTACGTTTCCAGCCTACTTTGGCTTAGGAAACCCCTCACCACTCCCAACTACATCAGAGCTCCTTCTATACTCAGGACCACTGGTCTCAGCCCTGGGAGAAAGATACAAAACTGGATACAATGCTACTTTTGAATTCTAATAGATGGTTGCCATGTATCCAAGCTTTCTTTTTTAAGGGGGGATACCTTTATATTGCCAGCAGCTGAACGTTGCAGATGCTGGTTTTCAAAAGACCTAGGCAGCAGGTATGGGTCAAAACCCACATTTGTATCCACCAATGTTTATGCAGGTCACCTGTACATTTGGCATTTGGCCATTTATGCCCTACAATGTCTATCTGAGAAATGACAGCTTTCTGAACTTCTCCTATAACAAACCCATTGATCTCCCCTATCAAGGCCAAGGGCTATGCATTCCTAAACAGCAAGCAGCTTTCAACATCCTCATCCAATGAGGGCCTGAATTGTATCACATGCCAGAAAACAGCCTATTGGAAGTAGAGTTTGCTCCCAAAGAAGAAAACACTGCTAAGTCTAAGAAAGAAGTAATTGCTTTTGGGTTGTATATTTTCTTACCCACCATGTACACAGGCAACCCACCTGGATTGAACTTAGTGAGCCTTAACAAATTCATCTCAAAATGATGAGCTTATTTGCTTGCATTACTGCTTGAAAAGAAAACATTTCTGCGTAGTCTTTCTTCCTTTCAGCCTCTCAATAGTGACCTTATTCTCTGTAGTATTGACTAGTTCCACAAATGTACTCAAATGACTGGCTCTCTAGAAAAAAAAAGTCATGAGGACAGAGAAAATACATTTCCTTACCTGCACTCTTCATCAGGATGCTCTGCATTGCCAACTTCTTTTGTAGGCATGACTAGCTCATACCCAGAAAGATAGGTGACTTGGCTTGGTAATTAGGCCTTCCTTAATGGGGAGGTCTTTCATTCATTTACTCATTCATTTCTTAAATATGTTTGGGGGCTTAATCACTCTCTGTAAGATCTGATATTCATTGATGATACAGAGATGGAGAGGATCCAAGTCCTACCCTCAATGATCAATGCACCATGATCATCATCTCCCGCTTGACGTAATCAATGAAATCAAGCCACCAGAAAGCTACAAGGAGGTTCTCCTTTTCTCTGTCATTCCAGACCAAGTCCCCTGCACCATACACAATTAAAGAAAACTCTGCCCCACATAAAAGATCAACTCATTGAACTGTGAAATTCAATTCTGTCATTAAAGTCAATGTCTCGATTTATGTTTAGAGTTCCTCTTTTTGTGTGTGTCAATAAAGTTTATCTTTGTTCAGTAACTTCTGCATCCTTTTCTATTATTCTGCCCATGGCCACTTATCGCTTACTGGTGGGATCACAATTTAGGCAATAGATACACATCTGAATAAATTTTTCCCAAATGAATTTTTATAAATGGAATCCTAATTAACAGAAGCATGTGGTGGCATCTTTTGTTTCTATTACACTTTTACACTGCAAATTGCAAACATATCTGTTGGTTAATCTAGATTTCTATCTACAGTTAACCGCAGTTGGATCTATGACTTTTTTTTTCTGATTAAGCAGAACTCTCTCTATTGCCTTAATAAAGTAGGATCTGGTAGTCATCCCAAGAGAACACTGTAGGGGCTCAGATAACACTCTCAACTATCAAAATTGGAGATGTAAAAGAAAAGGTTAAAAGATTGTGGACACCTAAATGTAAAATTTAAAAATTATAACTATAAAAATTATCAATAAAAAAATAG